GTGTGTGTGTGCATGTGTGGGTGGGTGAGATGGGCGGGGACGAGCCGTCAGCCAGCTGTTGCGGGTCTCTGGTCTGGAAATTCCTGAGCAACGTTTAAGTAACTTTCTCGAACTTAAAGATCAGCTTTTTTTTTCCTCCTCCAAAAGGAACAAAACAACAAATTCAATGTTCAATCTCAGATGTTCGAACAGCTCCATATCCTTTGAGCAGCAAAAGCAGCAGTTTTTTNNNNTTTTTTTGGGGGGTGGGGGCCTTTTGGTGTTGTATGCTTAGGAGGAAATGAAAATAAAAGCATCAGCAGATAATCCTCATTTCCAAGCTTAGTAACACTACAAGCAAGCAAAACACAGAGCTCAGATTTCAGATTTTTCCACCCCTACAGTGTGTGTGTGTGTGTGTGTGTGTGTGTTGTGGAAGTGGAGAGGCGATGAAATGAAAGCTGGGCCAGAGTGAGAATTTTGTTTTATTGCGCTGTGTTGGCCGGTCGCCTGGAGCCATTTTTCTTTTTCTCTCTGCTTCATAAAACAGCGAGAGGGTGGGTGGGGGGAGCGACGCTGTTCCTATTAGATCAGTGGGTCTGAGATGCAGCCAGACCCCCACCCTTCAATCCTCACCCCCCGCCAGCACACACAAACACACACACTGACTGATTGATACAGCTTTCGGCTTGACTGGTCCCTTTGTAGAGACCCCCATTGGCCATGGCCAATCTAATCGATCCCTTATCTCCAGAGGTGAGCTGCGGGGGGGGGGCTGTGTGTGTGTTTGTGACCCCAGCATGCTCTCAGACAAAGACCAGGATGCAGAGTTAAAGACAAACACTCTGGACTGCCTGCCTCCTCCGTCACAAACACACACCTACACACACTCTGTGGTGGTCTTTGTTCTGCAGTGATGAGTGGCCTAATGAGCAGCCTGGTGTGTGTGTGTGTGTTTAAAAGGGAGGGTGATGAGAGTAATTCAGGTCATTAAGGTAAATGCCTGCCAGTTGAATTGCCTCCCATTTGTCCCCCACCCTGCTTGTCTGTGCTAGCTTTGCTTCCCGGACTCAGGGTGGGGCCCATCGGGGGCCGAGGCGCAGCCTTTGATGCCTCGCACTCCTTTCACCAGCAGTGGAAGCGGTTTATGCTGTCTGCCTGCCTGCCTGCATGTCTAAATGAGCTGCGGTGTTTGTTTGAGAGTCAAACAGGAGGGTAGGAAGACAGGTGAAGGTAAACAGAACAACCCCTGTGGCTCAGCGCCTGAGGCCCCTTCTCATTTTCCTGAGTTGAACTGAGTAAAAATAAATCTGAAAACCTGAAAGTAGATAATCTCAGGCAGCGCGGCAACTAAAAACTATTTCAATATTAAAAACGTAGTTACCATTTTTTTCACTTGACAATATAGTTCTTAAAAGGACAGAAAATAGCAAAAAAATAATGCTTATCACACTTAACCTCAGTCCAAAGAGACGTCTTTTAATTACTTGTCCAACAGTCCAAACCCCAAAGATATTTAATTTATAGTCCTATAAAACAGATTAAACGAGAAAATTCTGACATTGGAGAAGCTGAAACCAGCAACTGGTTAGAATTTTTAATAACTTTTAGTGATTGAAACCTGCATAAATTGATTTTCTTTGCAACATGGGGGGCAGCTGTAAACACTGACATAGTTAATGGATAATGTGTTGGCAAACAGTTGCTTATTTGCACATCCAGCAGATACGGAGAAACATTAGCATTCATGTAAGGTCATGTTTCTGGCCAGTGCTGACTCTTCTTACAGCCCTGGTTTGTTGTCCACCGACTCCTGAGTGTAATATATTAGCTGCTAAATGTTCTACTATGTTGTATGTATTGGAAAAAGTAGTTGGTGCGGTTTGGTGGGTTTATTAAAGCTCTGAAAACAGCTGCATGTTGCGCCTGTAAACGACGCTATGAGGATCATTGAGAGTGAACCAAAACAATGAGCTGAAAGACGCTAAAATGATCCGTGAAATTGGGGCGTACTGCAGAGATACGAGCGACCTCTTTCTCCTCACACAGTCGCCTGACCCATTGTTTATATTCAAACATTGATTAAAGCAGCTTTGATATTGCTGTTCTTTAATTTTCTGTCAATCAACTAATCACTAATCCCGGCTCGGGGAAGGTTGGTTTAAACAGATTTTGCACCTTTGCACTCATGGAATTTTCCCAATGTACTTATGCTGGACTCCAGGAAACTTTTCTTACTTCAGAAATCAATCCGAGATGTTTGCTCCAACTTTCCTAGGCAACTTTCCAAAGCTAGGACAAATAAAAGCTTCAATAAATCTTATCAGAAGAATACAGGAACTCTCATTTCACACAATTTCCACATAAAGGACTCCCAAAGAGACACACGTTAGGCCCCACGGATCTCATTTGATAATATTTATCCCGGGGAACCCCATGGGAAAGGTCTTGTTTTTTTGTGTAGACTGTGCAGAGTAAAAGATGACCCACTTTGAAAAACAGGAAGAAAGTCAGATAAAGGAGTTTTAAAGGAAGATACATAATAACAGAGTTTTGGTTTCAGAGCAACCCGGATTATCATTTCCTTCTGTAGTTTCTAGAACATGGTGCATGTGCCGTTTCCCCTGTAATGCTGGACAGCTTAACTGTGGGACTTTTTTATGCACCCAGTAAGCCCCTCTGCTGCTCACACACACTGTGCCCCCTCCATTCCTCTGTCGGCAGCCATTGTTGCATTGGATCACATTTCTGGGCTCAGCGAATTGGAGCCGCATGTCTGGCATTCCTCAGACTAAAGGTTTCTACTTCCTCCACCACAAAGACCCCTATTGTACCCGGCAGGCCCAGATCCTTGGCGGAGTGAAAGCGAAGTGGCGTGGTTCACTAAAGCCCCACCTCGTTTCTAAGGGGAAATTGAATCACGCTGGAATTTGCCGACTGGCGAGTGAGCCCTGAGCCCATCGGTGGTTATACAGAACGAACGTACAGTGGAATCCTGGGAGAGGTTAATAGACTTCCTGTCTGCTAATGTAGTTGGAGGACTGTGTGATGTTACACCTGACATTAAAATCTGTGTCCGGTCTTGACATCGAACACCTTGCTTCCTTTGCTCTCTGTGTTCACCTGCTCAAATATGCTGCCAGTTTGACGCATAAGTGAACCTTCATTGGTGTTTTTGTGTTCGTTGTAATGTGGAGTCGTCCTTGATTCACACTTTATTGTTAATGCGTCCTCGAGTGTCATCAACAGCAGCTCGAGAGCTCATTTATGTGGGTCTATATAGCTTAATTCACATCTGGATGTTGAGGTTTTCATTAAGTTAGATTATGTAAGATGAGATCTGAGAGGTGAATGTTTGTCTTGTTGGAGGAGAGAAGATGTTACATAAACAACTGGAACATAAGTGAAGTAGTTATGGAGAAAACAACCGTACACACTGGGGCAGTGTACTATTGATCAGATAGTTTCTGATTTCAGTCATAACTTTGCTGACTTTATAACATCTTTTTGAGCATGAATACTTCAGCCACTGAAGCATTGCGAAGTTTGGTAGATTTTGTTAAATGAACTATTCATACTGTAACATTATTATATGTAACATATTGTTATTTTAGTGTAAAATTCTATACAACAACATGATATTGTAACATATAGGTCCACTCACAATATATATATCGTAAAATCTCATATTGCAGCATGTCTTGTAACATAGCATATTATAACACTGTATCCTAAAACATCATACATGTCTTATGGTAAAATAATGTTACATTTCATTGTTTCATATTGTAACATATCTTATGGTAACGTATTGTATCGTAACATATCTTGTAACATTGTAACATATCCTATTGTAACGTCATAATATATCACATTAAAACATATGGTAACATTGGTTATTGCAATATTATAACACTGACTCTTATCATATCTTATAGTAACTTACTGTATTGTATCATCACTACCATGTTGTAATATATAGTAACGTAGTGCATCACATCATGTTTTATTATATATAAGCATAATGCTTTTCAAATTTTACATAGCAGGATGGCAGTGTTTGCAGCAACAGATATCTCGGTAACCACAGCAACTACAGCAGACATCGGTTTGGGTTTACTTCAGTTTAAATTGCCTTTTGTCTTCTCTGTTTGTGTCGAGTGTGTCTGGCTGGTGAAGGGTTATATATTTAAGCTCGATGGTGTAGGACGGCTGGACGTGGCTGTCGCTGTTTGTTGTTTCCACAGGTGTTCCCGAAGGCTTAACGCCTCTCCACTCTCACACACACACACACGTGCTCACCACCCCTCAGCTCTGTTCTGCTCAGCTATGTTAGCTATGCAGTAAATCAGCAGGCCTGCAGACCTGTTGCCATACCTCCAGACTGTCAGTCGCAGCTGGCTTACCTCAGGACTGTGTGTGTTTGTGTGAGATAAAGTAAATTTCCATGTCAGTAAGCCATTTTTGTGAAGGCTTCCTGCAGAAAGTGGGATGTCTTGAACATCATGGAATATTTCTGAACAGTATTCCAGACAGGCAACGTCAGGAAATTTCAGATTTTTTTCAGTTTTGGGTTGAAGTCAGGCAACATCTGGCTATTTGAATGAGTCACATTACATGAATAGAGCTATATGTATTTTCCAGCTTGTTTGATGTGTATTTATTTCATTAAGTGATGCATCCATCCCAGCTGTTGCGGAAACCAGCCTGGAAAAGGCCATTAGCAAACCAGGAAGGAAGAAACATTTTTACATCTTGGAAGAGTTTCCACTCAGTCATGGAAAAGTCATATGGGTTTCCATCAGGACCACAGTGGAAGTTTGGTATTGTTTCACGTTATATTGTATCCTCTCGTGTCATCGTGCGCAACAGTATTCATTTGCTGTGAGCGCGACACGAGGGAGGATCTGTTTAAGAGCAGGCGACAGGGCTGGAGAGTGTGTGTCAGTGTGTGTTTAAAGGACAGAGAGGGTGGACAGGGTGTGTGTCTTCCTTCCAGATTTAGAGATCCTGTGGGAGAACAATGACAGGAGCTAATTAGATGACAGCCACCAGGTCTTTGAGTGCGCGTGTGTGTATATATATATATATGTGTGTGGTAGCTGTGGGATTTCCTCTTATCTTTCCGGCTGGCAGGAAGATGACCTCAAAGCAGAGTTTGGTCTCAGATGCAGGCCTAATGCAGTTACGACTCTGGTATAAAACGGCAGACAAGAAAGAAAACCTCTCCTATTAAAAGTCTCCTGAAAGCCATTAACAGACCTGTGCACACACTTCAAAACACCACATGCAAATTTTGATCTTCTGTGAAAGTTACTGCTCCTCACTTTCCCGTTATGTTGTGCAGCTTGAAATGGTTTGCTGAAGATGCACTTAGAGGATTTGCAGCTGTAAATACTTTAATCTCCAGGTAAATTCACAGGAATATGTGCAGACACTTTGAAAACAAGACCCCACACACTGCACCCAGCAACTCAGATATATGCGTTTTCCTCTCATTGGGTTGGTAAAAACAATCAATTCATTGTAAAATGTCAACCGACTGCAGCTTACCCTTTCAGTCGCGGGGTCTTATTTTTCCCCTGATTGGTTCCAGGCAGGGAGGGCTTGAAAAAAAGCAGTTCAAACAATGCAATGTGGTCATGATTGATTGTGAGACAGCCATGAAAAATGGGAAAGAAATTCTTGCGGGGATCCGACATTCCTCTTCGCCTTGTACTTCCTGTGCTGCGTCGATGATGGCTGCTCAGAGTCAGGCCTTTTTGTTTAGGTGGTGTCACCTATCAGACGGCTTTCCAAAAGGTCCTCAGGGAGGGAGTGGGAAACCAGAAAGTCGAAATAACAAGCCTGTTCCCATCTGAAAGCCATTATGTTTAGATCAAGACATCAAAATAATTTATTCTGTGTAGTTTCTGGCGTCCGTACTTGACTGACTTTCAGTTTCTGAAATGGTAAAAGGCATTAAGACACAAAAATTAGCTGAGTGCTGGATTGTTTTGTGTATCAACATTTGGGAAAGTGATACTGTGGAATTCAGGGTTTGAGCCAGAGCATAACATTGCGTCACTGACCCCCTTAAAACATAAAATCTCCCGTTGCTGTGATTGCCAATAGTCCCCCATAAAATTGAGGGTTGCCTGTTAGCTTGTGAATGTGCATTGAAAATCAGTGTCTCTATTCTTTGCCAAATGCGGTTTGTTAGAGAGAAACGCCACTCTGATATTGTTCTAATATTTAAAAAGTTGCTAGCAGAGGGTAAATAATAGCGGGAGTCTCTTGAATACTTTTAAACACACTACATTAAGATCTCAATGAGTCTACTTTGGGATCAGAACTTTTAGCTTAGCAGCCAAACAGGAAACGGGGAGCTTTCAACGTGATCATTTATACGATATCTCAAGCTTTAATTGTCAGACATGAAATAGCCATCCTTTGACCGCCTCCCGGAGAACCCCGTCTCCCGAGCGGCGCTGTATGATTGTGGACATAGATACGGGTCAGGTTTCTGTATGCAGCAGCGCTACATTTATTGTGCACACATCAGCTGGTGTTACGCTCTGTTGTGCGAGGCCTGGAAGGAAGCAAGAATAGTTTAAACAGTGTCGTCTCCCATCCAGACTGTTTAGATTAGAAAAACTAATGCGTGTGTGTGTGTGTGTGTGTGTGTGTGTGTGTGCATTCCTGGCTTTTCTCCATGGCAGTGTTTAGAGAGGACCTCCCAAGGGAACCTTTGGTTACCAAAAACAAAATTCTCCAGATTTTTGGCAGCCGGGTGTGTGTGGTCAGCTCTCGCCTGTCATGTGATCTTGACTCACCTTGACATGACGCCACCCTTCCCCCTCCCCCAACCCCCTTCTTCCTCTTCGGAGAAGTCTGGCGGAGAGATGGGCGTCTCCCCTCACACATGGTTTCAATTTAGAGGAGGGAGTAATTTCCTCGCTCTGAAGTTCTCCGTTTCTCTGGAGAGGATTTCTTCAACAAGTGATCCCGTCGTAGTCAGCACATTTTTTCTACTGATGCTGCATTATTTGTTTTTTCTCGCCTGGTTGCTATGGATTATGGCTGAGCTGCAATCATGTCATACGAGAATAACTGCCAGAAATGCTTTAGAGTTTAAAGCGATGATTGGGGCTGCGTTCGCGCATTCTTGAAAATATGTTTGAGGTTTTCTGTAGATTTGGTTGCTCCCCCTCACTTCACTGCAGGTATTTCCTACCCCCTCCCAGTAAAGAAGGTTTTTCCCCAGTGTCCCCTGGAGTTAGATCCTGTTTAGATGACCCCCAAAGTTAAGTTCAACAGCAACCTGAATTGTTCATGAGAGTGGATGAAGTTGCATAAACCTGGGTGTGTGTACATGTCCGTGTCTAATAGTCTCAAATGCGAATGTTTCAGGTTGGTGTTTTCTTTTCTTGCAGGATCACCATACTACGACAATGTGAGGCCTCTTTCCTATCCAGACTCCGACGCCGTCCTCATCTGTTTCGACATCAGCCGCCCGGAAACGCTTGACAGTGTGCTGAAAAAGGTTTGTTCCTCTTTACTTCCACATTCATTAATAAGCTTAGCGTAAGTCTTTAAACTCTAAACGTTGCATTTAACTGGATCGGAAGTCGACAGTCAAGAGATTTTTTTGTGGCCTTGGTCACATCAGATCTTGTGATGTGAAGCTGTAAAGCTGTAGTGTGACGGGAAGGTCGCTGGGTCAAATCCCTGCTGCGGCTGGAAGAGGGAAGTAACACACACCGCTGACTGACTTTTGTACTGAGGTGTGGCCGCAAGTTACTCACATGGAGCTTCTGGTGTCAAATGCCTGATGACTGTGGTCGTACTGGTTGACACCCATGTGTCAGAGGGTGTACTGAACAGGACATGCATCAGTCATCTGGCTGGAGGAAGGCTGTGATGGTGTTAAAAATAAAGCACACCTGACATGTGCTCTTCCTGTTTCTCATGGTGCTTATTTTAGGTTTCCTAAATTAGAGGCCCTCACAGATCCACATTTTGGACTCAATCCTAAACAGAAAAACCTACACGAACCATGTATCAATAAATTGGTTTTCAAAAAAGGAGATCCGGTCTGAAGGGAACCCGAGAACATGTAGACGTGATCTCAGGAGGCCAAATGGATCCAACCACCAAGATGCGACTTGGCTCTTTTGGCAAAGTGTCTGCAGTAACACCTCCTTCGTGATTCGTGAACACCTAACCACTAGAATTTCAGAAACTTAGAGGTCATGGATCGAAGTCCCCAAGTCTAATTTAAAGATACTGAGTCTAGAAATACTGGAAGCCATATTGAAGGTCTAAGTGTTATGTTCTATCTATTTGAGAATATGTAATTTATAATGGTTAGCTAGCTGTTTTGCACGCTGTAATCTCTCATTGGCAGTAATTAGGATTAGGTTAACCAGTTGCTCTGGTTTTCGGGGCTGTCTGCTCACATGCTACAGTGTGAGCGTCTGTCTGGTGATCACACTGTGTTTACTTGCATCATATTAGTGAGAGGTCATGTTTCAGACGATGAGCGTCTAGATTAGAATTAGCGTTGGTCTAGGGTTTTAGTCAAGTGGTGTTTGTGCAGACAGAAAGTGATAGACAGGGTGTACCAAACAACTTCCTCTTTGGATGTCGATGAACTTGATCCCCTGACCAGCCAGCCAGCCAGCCCCGAGGCACATTAGCCTCAGATTAAAGCCCCTGGAGAAATGCCATTGATCACAGAGCATTTATTGTTGTCAGGGAGGAAACGTGGGGATTATTTGTAGTTCCTTTCCAGGGTTCAAAACGTGAGGGGCTCCAGGAAGTGGCAGCTGTAACCTTTGTACTTAAAGGATGGGTGAGGGGGAGGGGGTGGGACTCATGGGACCTTGTGTCAGGTTATTCGACCAACATGTATATATTAACACATATTTGAACCCTTAATTGGGTTAAATCCTCAATTTCACTTTCAGGCTTGGCTTACTTTATATTGGTTTGTGGTCTTTGCAGATAATTATTGATCTTCCACCCATATTATACATTTTATCTATAATTTCCCATCACTACTGTAGAATGAATTAAGAGGAAACACTGTTTTCTCTCTGAATGTTGCATGATTACAAGACGTTGTCTTTCTCCACAGTGGAAGGGGGAGATCCAGGAGTTTTGTCCCAACACTAAGATGCTGCTGGTTGGATGTAAGTCAGACCTGCGCACCGATCTGAGCACACTGGTGGAGCTTTCCAACCACAGACAGACACCAGTCTCTTATGACCAGGTACGCAGATTCCAGTTGTCGAATGTGAATGAAAGATGCAATTAGTCAAGCCGTTTTCTGTCTGACATCATTCATGAATAATCGCTCATTGTACTCTACTTTAAGCCATGTTTAATTGATCCCTAAAAGAAAATCCTCTCGTCATTGTTGACGCCAGTACTTTATACATGTGTTAACCTCTTGCTAACCTGAGCCTTTTCTTTCCGGCGGTGACCATATTTAACCTCTTCCTCCTCAGGGCTCCAGCATGGCCAAGCAGATCTCGGCGCCCTACATCGAGTGCTCGGCTCAGCAGTCGGAGAACAGCGTCAGAGACATTTTCCACGTGGCCACGCTGGCTTGCATCAACAAAAACAACAAAAACGTCAAGCGCAGTAAGGCCGCCCGCGGTAACAAGAGGATTTCACACATGCCCGGTAGGCCCGACCTGGCGGCTGTGGCCTCGGACCTCCGGAAGGACAAAGCTAAAAGTTGCTCGATCATGTGACTGATCAGACTGAGGAGGATTGGACTGAGAATGAGGACAGAGCACAGTGGAAGCAGGAAGCTACGGGGCGACGCTCTTTCCTGCATGCTGAAGACCCCTAATTTGTCTGGAAAGGGGTTTTATGAGCTTCAATTCATGTACATGTTACTGGAATACTCTGCACCAATGAAAACTCAATGCGTAGTAACGTCCCAATCCATGTGGCCCCCCACCCCACCAGACGAGGAAGCTATCTGTCAGCAAGCTACCTGCTCGGGGAAGTGACCCGCTTCCTCTGGGAGGTCGAAGCGGATGCAGGATCGAGGCTTTCCGCACAACAGGAAATGAGCGGGAGGAGTGATGTCATTAGGACACGCTCGTTTGTAAAGGAAGGGTTTAAGAAACATGTGATCGCTTGAATGAGAGCCAAAACTGGCGATAGGGGGTTTGCTGCGTGGGAAAAAAAAAAAGAGGAGCTACTGTAAGTGCTGGATCAAAGACTTTTTGCTCGGAGGGCTTATACAACAACTCGTCACTGTAGTTTGGAACTGATTCACTCCCACCCCTGCTCCTGTAACTGTTAGTCTGCGTGCAGAGGAGATTAGAGGAGGAATTTCTTAGTCCTGCACAAAGGAAACATGACGCTGTTTGTCCCCCATCTCTGATATGTTGTCGGTATAATGTGAAGTCATTGGTGTGTAACTGCATCATTGTTTTATTTTAGCTTCATCTTGATGAGTTTCAACCATGAACCGCGGATCCTGGGAGCTGAACGTTCCCTCTGATCACGCCTGAGTTGTTTGAGTTTATTGCTGCACGTTTGTACCTGTCAGACCGCCATTCTGTGCCCGTTTATTTCACATTAACAGCTATAGATACATAACCACTGTATGAAGACAGATTGACCTAACTGTTCCACAGTGACAGGTTTATGGAGTCCTCTGTATCATACTGGAGAGCCATAAGTAATACGTCTCTAGGATTTGGCCAACAATTCCTGTCTGTGTGATAAACAAATAAGGGAATTGTGTAACTGTTTTGAAATTAGAAAACAGAAATAACTCACATAACACATTTTAAAACCCTTAATGGGCCAAAAAAAAAACTTAATTGACCGACATTTGACTAATTATGTAAACTGAGTATGTCCTAACAGGCTGACAGCCAGTTTGAGCTGTGAATCTTTTTTTCCACAACACTTTAGGGAGGGAGTGGAAATGAAAGCAACAATTAAAGCTAGCTTATTAAACATCACAGCTTTCTGCTTTGCATTTCCCCGAAGTGTTCAGACTCTGCTGTTGGGTAAAATCCTCAGAAAGGCCCTGGTCACACCAGCATTTAAAACGGCACAAACTCGCAGTAAATCAATTCTTTCCAATTGAATTATTGAAATTACCGGATTCCCTCTTGCGTCAAGTTTAAATTTGCTGAATTTACACCATTGATAGGTAGTTAACAGTCTTGACAGTGCTGATTATTGAGGGAAGAGACAGCCAGAAAGAGCAAAATGGAGGACGCTATCGTAGCTTATTAGCTGTGTTGCACCATACATCTATTTAACCTCCCCTTCTAAGAGTAAACCACAGTTAACGGTACAAATAACGATCAATTGACTAGTCTCTATTTTGACACATTTTGATTGAATAATCCCTTCTCTTAAGTAAAAATGCCAAATATTCTCAGGTTTTAGCTTCTGAAATTAGAGGACTTGATGCTTCTATTTGTCACATATGAGAGTAAATTGATTTTGGTCGGACAAATCAAGCAATTTTAATTCATCACAGTGAGCTTAGAGAAACTGTAAATTGCATTTGCGTCGCTATTTTTCAACATGTAATAGACCAGACAACTCTTAAAGTAATTAATTACTAGAACTGAACAAACAGTGCTGGAAACAAGATGGCGGTGGGGAAGCTTTTGTGTTTAACTAGCGCTTGCTGGCTGGCTAGCGTGTTAGCTCACCAGCTACAGTAGTTAGCCCTCCACTTTGTAGAACAACATAATATTGTGAAGACGTGCCGATGAATTTCACTGTGCCACTTTCTGGTGTGACCAGGCCTTGACTCAAAATGGATGATTACATTTTTCCTACATGGTTTAACATTTTACTGGATAATGTCAGTGTTTTGGGTTTCTTGAAGCTCATTTGAAATGCTCATAATGTAAACAGCTAACAGGAAATAGAAAATTAGACTTTCTTCAAAAGTCTTGAGAAATAGTGTTTTTAAAATTTGTGGTTTTCCCCCTCTAACAACAGTGCAATTAAGAAGCTGTTTAAATCTCAAACATATTGATGCACTTTTAATGTAACTTCCCAACTAGCTTATTCAAGTGCAAGCGCTGTCACATTTGGCAGCTCGGTGGCCCTACTCTTATCTTCATTTTCTAATCTGTTGCCCCCCGTGTACATTATCATGTTTTCTTGAATGTTGATGTCACCCTCAGATGTCTTTGCCAATGTTGTTGCCGCAATATTTATTGAATTATATATTTTCCCTTTAGAATAAATGCAAATGGAATTGAAGAAAAGTGTGTTTTCTGTTCATTGGGAGGAAACGTCATCTTATATTTGAAGCAAACAGATTGTGCTGATGGAGGATTTAAATTCTTACTACTTTTGGCAAGTACCTCAATTTACACTCACTGGATATATATGTGGAAAGAGAGAATAAAACACATTGAATCTGGTATTTTCAGACCATACTCTTAGGAGGTTGAGAGCAATCTGATAGTTGGCACAGATCAAATTTTTCTGACCATTGCGTCATTGGATTCTCACCAGGTTTCACACTTTCCTCTGAGGTGAGGTAACGGCAATCATTTCTGCACAAGTTCATGCTGCCATCAAAGATTCTCCTTCTTTTTCATCTTAAAGTTGAATCTATGTG